TCCCCTAGCAGGCCACATCCCAGCCCCACATGGCTCCCATGCTCCCCCTCTGCACTCCTCCCCGTAGGCCCCACACGGCTCCGGCTCCCGCTCCCCCCTCAGATAACCAGAATTTTTAGGTTACCAGAACAGCGCCAGATAACAGGTTTTATTGTATATATATTCCCTTTCGCCCCCCTCAGATAACCAGAATTTTTAGGTTACCAGAACAGCACTGGATAACAGGTTTTATTGTATATGTATTCCCTTTCATCATTTATTGGTTCAATTGTTTACTGATTTTTATTTTATGGAGGGAGAACTTGTTCAGACATTTTAATTTTGTCTTCTGTTGCCATAGACATATTCTTTCTAAGCCTCATCTTATCAGGTATCTCTTACATAGTTTTATATACATTTCTCTGGATGGTTTAATTGTGCACAGGGGTGGTCCGAGCTGGACTGCGCTCTTACATAGTTTTATATACATTTCTCTGGATGGTTTCATTGTGCACAGGGGTGCCCCAGGCAGAATGCACGATCGGCACCCCCGCCCTGCACAGCCGTCAATGGCATGACTTCGTCATCGGGTGCCCCATTGAAGATGGTGCTCTAGGCGACGACAGAGTCGGCCTATACTCACGAGCCATCCCTGATTGTGCACAAAATGATCGTTTTGAATGAGTATCCCATTTAATAAGCATGTTAAACCATTTCAGAAAAGCCATTGCAGTTTTCTGACAAATTTGAAGTCTGACATGCTTGTGTCTGTGAGACTTGTTTTATTGAGCTGAGAGCATTGTATTACCACAGCTGCAGTTCCAGAAGCAACAACAATGGTGCTGGCATGAATGTAGACAAGGTACTGTCATTTTTACCACGTCATCTCACTCTTGCCAGATCTAGTCTAGATGTCATTCTGACAAACATGCCAGCACCTGCCTGATATCAATTGCTCCCACTAGTGTAGCTGCATGATAGAATTGGAACAGTATGAGAGTTGAGGAAAAAGAAATCTAACAGACAACACCATTGTGTCTTGGTAATTAACATGCATGCACTTGGTACAGTCACACTATTGTAGATATCTGGTACTTTGCATGAAAGCAATACACTTCAAAATATTCTCTCTCAAGTTGAGGGTATTTAAAGGTGTACTCAAGCCACACATTTGTGAACTCTGAACATGATTATTGCCACTGGTGTCTGCATTCCTAAAGACACGTTCTGAAAAAGCTCCCAGTGATACAAAACACAAAGCCTGTGCAGTCAAGAACACAGGTCAACATAACAACATTGCACCAATACACCTCAAGCTGTGCTGGCTCCCAACTGACCAGGAAGTACAGTTCAAAGTTTCAGTCCTGATTGAAATCCTCATAGGATCAACAGTAGGTGCTCTCTCCCTGGCAACCATGACTACCTCCCTGTATTATAAACTCTTGAACAAAATGGGGGATTCATGGAGCGCAAGATACCATTTTCAGAAGGAACTGGACCTAGACTACTGAACTAACACTCAAGGACAGAATTCATGGTCATAGACCTTACAGTACTAAGGACCAAATACAAAATACGCCAACAGCGAAAACCTTGGGAAGCAACTCAGGACATATATGTCCCATAGGTTTTGAAGAAGATAAGGAGAGCAATTATCTTTATTACTACAGGCAGTCCCCGGGTTACGTACAAGATAGAGACTATAGGTTTGTTCTTAAGTTGAATTTGTATGTAAGTCGGAACTGGCTCCAGATTCAGCTGCTACCACTGAAACTGACCAGGGGCTGACTACAGGAAGCCGAGGCAGAGTTGCACTGCCCCCAGCTTCCTGGAATCAGCCTGATCAGTTTCAACAGCTGCTGGGCGGCTTTGCTCGGGTGTCCCTGAAAGCCCCCCAGGCAGCGGGACCCCTGCCGCCTGGGCGGCTTTGCTCCTGTCCCCCTGGTCTGCTGGGGGGGGTCCAGCAGCTTTGCTGGACCCCCCCCCCAGCAGACCAGGGAGACTGGGAGAAGCTTTTCTCATCCCGGAGGACACGGGCGGCGACCCGCCGCCTGTGAGCTCCGGGGCGAGAAAAGCCCCGTTCGTAAGTGCGGATCCGACATAAATCGGATCCGTGTAAGTTGGGGACTGCCTGTATTTCAATCCTTAGAAAGTGGTCTGGTACTACAAGAACGAGTGAAACACAAGTTTGATTATATTAGGCATGCCATCATTTTTTCTCACCAAACAAAAATAAAGAACAAAGGTTCAGGAGGAAAACAGATTTGTTAGTCAAATGCAAAAGAGTTCCCATTCAGATTGTTTCATCAGAGGTCAGACCAGTTTCTTTGTGCATTTCGCCTCACTGTATGTCCAAAAAATGAACTAAGAAATGGTGAAAAGAAACCAAGTTAGTGTGTTCTCTGAACCTGGTTTAAGATAATGATCAAATTCCAGGATCTCCACTCCTGAAAACAGAATTCAACAGGTTCATTCACAAAATAAAACAAACAACAAACAAACAAACAAATGCCCCCAATGTCCCTGAATGCTGATATAAATTAATGGCCATGGGAAAAGATTTAGAAGTCTTTAAGGCAAACATAATGCTGTCCCTACCTAACACTGACTTTCCTGGAAGATGTTGTTCCAGCTGAGACAGAGCTGAGGAATGAGTTCAGTGAAAGTCAAACAGTCTAGAACACAGCAACCTGTTAATTCAATGAACCTCACCCCAGGGTTACACTTACTTCACTGTCTTGTAGCTGAATACTAGGTTTAAGAACTCATCTTTGAAATCCACCCTGGGAACAGCTCAAGTTCCTGGAGGGACTGCCTACCTCTGTCACCACAGCCTCCCACAACAGCTGTGTTCCATTGGAGCAATCTAATTGTCAACCTCAGGAGCAAGGACTGTGTGAACAGGAAAAGACAGCTTTTCAGAAGATCTGCCTCTTGAAGAGATCAGAATGACCACAGACCTCAGTGAATATGGAGTTAAAAATATCTCCCCGTTTCAGAGCACACAGACACTACGTAGAAAGACACAGACAGATCCAGTTTCATACAGAAGTGCAAAATAATTGAGTGATGGAGTCAGTGTATTAATCAAAATCCTGGGTGCACAGAATTCTCTCTTTTCTTAATGTACATATGCTCACAGGTACAAATCCACAGAAAATCCCAGTATTTCCGGGGTGGGGGGGTGTGTGTGTGTGTGTGTGTGTGTCTTTACTGAAATAACTCCT